CAGCCCTTATTTTAATGTTTGGATCTTCATATCATAGGTATTTTATTTATAATTTATCATCATCGTCGTCATTAACAAATTTTGTACTTCAAAAGTGATTGAAAAAGTAACAAATCAAGAATGTTTGCCTTGGTTTAAAAAATAATGCAGTGTATCTGTGTATGATCCTATATTTTAATAAATGAAAATATAGTATTTTAACGTAAAGTTGACTTTTTTCGCTGCGAAATGCTTGCAGAACATTTGTCTAAATTAATAAGTCTTGTTGCAGAACATTTGAAAAAATTCTGCTTCTGGGCCTACAAGTTCGACTGTATATACACTCGGATATAAATAAATACTTTAAACAGTGTGTTATTGGTTTTTCATTAAGACAGCACCTTGGGAAAGAGGAATAGAATTGTATTCTACTGTGCTCTGATTTGTGCATGTTTAACATTTCTTCACATGAAATTCATTACCATACTATCACAAATACTTTTCTGACAAATAAACAATATACTATAGTAACGAACATTAAGTCGATTCAATGTGGGATTTAATGCTACAAGAGCAGAAAACAGATATAATTAAAGAAGTTAAAAACATTTCTATGTGTAAATGATGATTAGCATGAATATGCATGAGCCTATATTTGCACGATGAAGTATATGTGTGTCTTTATTCGGTATCAAGCTTCAATGGAGAAAAATTAGATAGAGATTTCAAAAAATTGGATGTGATTAAATAGAAATTTTTACAAAAAATCTTTTTTTTTTTCGATTGACATATAATTTTTACATGCTCTCAGTTTTTTCTTCTTACAATTTTTACTTTATTCTTGATATTTATTTGAAACCATTAATTTAATGTGTTACAATGCATTACTAAAAACTATTTACATCTAAGTTGGGCAGTATAGCTCATAAACTTTTCATGTTCCATGTAGTCTTTTGATCAACTCTAGGTAAACTACAACCTATAAAAATTTCAGAAATATAAGCAAAAGCCAATTTCCTTATCATTTCTGTGTGGTTGTTTTTGAAAACCTCTGCACTTTGTTCATAAATATAAGTATGAAGTATGATAATAATTTTTTGATATGTTCTAATTTAACCCATAAGATATATTTACTATCTGAATGTTCTTATTTTCAGTATTTTCAAATGATGCAGTATACTTTATTGCTAATCTAATTACTGTTTATATTGCTAACACATTTTTGTTTTTAAAAAGAAATATGTTTATTTATAGTATGAGTTTAAAGCAAAATCACTGAAGAAAAAGAAAATTAGCCTTACAGTTTCGGTTGATGGAGTAAAAGTCACTTTACGCAACAAAAGAAAAGTTAGTGTTATTTCTTCCTACTCTGAATAACAGTTTTAAGATGATGAATAACAAATTGTCAATCATAATTATTTTAAAAATTTTTATAAAAAATTGAATAATTAATATTATGTTTAGTAATAAATTTTTTATGGAATATGAAATCAATTATTTAATGTGAGTAAATAAAGTTATTCCAAATAACAGTTTTATGATTAACAATTTATCAATCATAATTATTTTTTTAAAAAGATAAATATTTTAGAAAATCCAGTTATTCATGTATGAAAATACAACTTGACTGAATGCAAAATCAATTATTTAAAGTTATTGCAGTTATTTCATATTTTAATAATATATTTATTGTTAAAAATTATTTATTTTTATGAAGAATAAAACTTTAGGAAGATGATAATAAGAGATTAAAACTGACAATCATTAGCTTTGTTAAATTGCTCACCCAGTTTCTAACCATAAAAATTTTGGCTAGGCTGGGAAGTAATGGTGAGTGATACTGAAAGCAAGGAGGTAGGAAATACTGACCACATTGCCACAATTTTGCTGTTGGTCTAGAAATTAGACTGACTAACAACTGGTTGGTGCAAAACTGTTTCACCTTTTTAGGAAGAAGAAAAACTAAATTAAAATAATTTGTACAAATGTATGCTTTTTAAAAATTAGAATTCTCCCAAAAATAAATATATTTTACACAACTTTCTATAAATATGACTTTTTTTTTCTCTTCTTTAATTGTATGTGTTTTTAAATTCTTCAATTGAACTTTTCAGACCAATCAATGGCCTTGGGATGAAAATAAGCTTGTAATTATGCATCATCCAATTTACAGGTATGGAACTTATTTTGATTAATTATGAAATTGCTATTTAATGTGTAATAATGTATTAAAAATATATTGTGATTAAAAATAGTGGTTTGAGGAAATATTTGATTAAGCACAATGCAACTGTAAAAGGAGTTGAATTCTTCAACTGTTCCTCATTTTGATTTACTTGGAAAAACTTGAGGCTTATCAGTACAGTATACTCTCGATATCTCAAAGTTGAAGGGACACTAAAAAAATTTCGACATAGCGAGTTTTTGAGATAACAAGTTCAGAATTAAATATGTTCTAAAAAGTAAAATAATGTATTCTGAAATATTATTCTAAAAAGTACAATCATGAAACATAAGAATAACTACTATTAATGACTATAAGTCTAAATACGACAGTGATAGTTATATATTTACTAGTACGACAAGAACAATTATGCCATTATATGGAAAGGAATTGGTTACAATGAACTTACATGGTGATCTTTCCGAAAAATTTCATTTTCTATTTTCGAAAAGTATTCGACATAGCAAGGTTTTGAGAAGAAACCCTTCGACTCTGGAATTAAAATTAACAAATTAAAAAATTTTTATTTTTATTTAACAAGCTTTAAAATGCATCAAAATAATCTTCAAAGCATATTATTATTTCATGTTACTGATAATTTTTTTATGATTATTTTAAAACTTTTAAGTGTAGACATAGATTTGATATATACTGACCAAATATTAGAATAACAATTAGTTCTAAAATAATTGTAATCACTTTTGGAGGAGACATGCTGTGAACTTAGCCAACTTCCAAGCAAAAAGTTTTCCCTTTTAACTGAACAATTGGGATATCTATCATAATAAATATTTTACTTCAAAATATTTTTATTTACAATTCTAAAAAATAATAATACTTTTATTAAATTCATTATTGTTTTTGTTTTATTCTAATATTTATTAGTCTAAGTATTTTCAATGAAAAAAAATTTTTTTTTATTTCTTTATAAGTGATAAATATGATTTCAATTTCAGGATATTTTATGTTTCTCATGATTCTCAAGATCTTAAAATATTTAGCTATATAGCTAGAGATGGAGGAACTAATTCCTTTAAGTGCAATGTTTTCAAATCAAAGAAAAAAGTAAGTGTTTTATGTTGTATTGTTCGTGTTTATAATTTAAAATCAAAATATTTTACTTGAATAAAATGTACTTTTGTGTGAATCAATGTACACACTAACCATATGAATTGAAAATATTGTTAAAAACATAATTGTTAAATGGGATGCCAATATTAAAACTTCAAAGAATGCTTTAAAATTTACAGTTTTTATCCACGAAATTTTGTAGCAAAACTTTAATTTACTGTATTGTGTGTTAAGAAAGATTTAATAAAAAAAAGGGTTTATTTTTAAAATTTTACTGATTAAAGGACTGATAAAAGATGTTTACTTATGTTTGATGATGTTTAACTGATAAAAGGACTGTCTAATGTTAATTAATGCTTTGAATTAATTGATTTTAATTCAAAGAAAATACAAAAATTAATAAAAACTGATAAAATAAATTTCACTTAAGACAGTACATTATCCAGACTTCATCTCAATTGTCGGCCAAAAGATTTTGGTGGTTAAGAACTCTTCTCAAAAATTAAATCTTTTGCCAATTTATTATGAAATATGTTTTGTTCATAAGAAACTATTCCATGCTAATAAGAAATGTAATAATATAACAATGATTCGGAAATAAACAAAAATGTTTCTCATCCATTTTGCATCACTTAAAAGAACAAAAAGACGAAGAAAAAAGCAAATATTTCCAGTGCTTTTCATTTTAATCTTGAGATCTTAAAGGGCTATGGTACCTCATAAATTAATCACTGCTAATAACGATTGAATAAGTTTAGAATTTTTCCAATTATCTCCAATCAATATCCAATTATTTTCAGTAAAAAAAAAAGAGTGATGCTGATAAAAAAAAATTTAAAACAGTAGAGCCAGTTATGTATGGTTCATAATACCAAGTATGGTTCATAATGCAAAAAACTCTAAATACGTTCAAATTTGAAAATATTATCTAATTTAGTTGCCTCTCTTCTGAAACAGATGCTATTCAATAATTAACTTTGAAAATGTTTCATTGTTTTTAAAAGTTTTCCTTTATTAATATCTGTTTATAGAAAAATTATGGACATTAAAACTATAAATTTTAAAACTTCATCCAGAAATATTTTCTGTTTGCCCGACTGGTCAGCTACCATGAACAACTTCTTCAAAACCACCTAATGACGAACAAAATGTTTATAAGTTTTTCTTATAAAACTATTCTTCTTCTTATTCCTAATCCCCAAAATTAGCAGGGCTAAACAATGTCCGTGAAATACATGACCTGGAGGAAGTCGACCACCAAAAGTGGGTTTTCTTTAATGTCCCTCTTCTCCAGTCCAAGACATTCCAGGATATGTTGAGAAGAAGCCTGCATGTTGTGGGACCTGGGTCAGTTTGGGAAGATTTTAACACTACCCAGGGGTCGCATTCCCCCTAAAATTCATAAAATTCCTAAAAGTATGTGCAAACCCTAAAATTCCTAAAAATCTGATGAAATTTTGTCGGTGTTCCTAAAAAATTAGAGTTATAGTCTAAATATAAATAAAAAAGCAATAATCTAAAATATAAGAATTTAACTACATTAATTAAAACTGTTTTAATTTTGCAACATGGAAATTCTGATCCTGAGAGAGGTTTTTCGATAAATAAAGCAATGCTTAATGTGAGTCACCATGAGAATACTATTATGTCTCTTAGACTAATCAAAGATACCATTCGAAATTATGGAGGAGTGTTGAAGATCACCACAACACTATTGAGGGCAGTAAAAGAATCTCACAAATCATATCAAGAATATATATGAAAAATGATCATGATTAATTTGTTTTTCTCTAACTTCTAATATAAATTGCTGATTTGAAATCTAATAATATCACACAATAGTTTTTCTTAATAAAGTAAGGTAAAGGGTAATAATAAAGTTTTGATTAAGGAGGTAAAAATTAAATAAAAATCCAAGTTGGTGTTCCTTTTTTTTCTCTTGATTTATTCTCACTTTTGCCTGTTCCTGAATTATGCACTTAATTTCTGATAGGTAATATGTAAAGTTGAAATTTCATTTTTACACTTTAGAGATTTCATTCTTGACTTAATAAATTTAAGAGCTTTATTTTATGGCTTGCAATTATTTATGATATTTGTGGATGAATTGTAATAATCTTCTGTTATGTAATAAACTACCGTGTGATCTGTTTTTCTCCTAGCAAAATCATATATTACCCCTAAAATTTTTTGAAAAAAGTTCCTAAAATTACCCTGAAATTTTAAAAAACTTTGCTGCTACCCCTGACTACCCTCAAAAGAAAGAGACTTAAGGTGGCCGCTGGTAAGCGCCGTCTGATCCTTGCGGTTGCACCGAATGTTGAGTGCACCTCCTGGACGGGGGGGAAAACTATTCTATATTAAGTTATGATATCTCCATACCTCGACTTAATAATGTTTCATTAATAAATGTTAGTTTTAAAAATACTGATCATGACATTTATTTTATTAATTTTAGAGTCAAGCTATGCGTATTGTGAGGACTATTGGCCAAGCATTTGAAGTGTGCCACAAACTGAGTTTAGCGTTAGCATCGACTTCTGGAGCTGGATGTACGAGTGAGGAAGTTGAAGAAAATGCTTTGCATGATCATTCTAGTAAAGGTTTGTTTAATTCTAAAAACTATTCATTATTAAAAAAATTCTAAAATTAAGTACAGTGGAGCATCGTTTATACGACGATCATTTATATGACGTTTACATTTATACGACGTTTTAGAGTGGTCCCAAATCATTCCTATTCATTTTAATGTAAAAATATATCGTTTATACGACGCACAGAATCGGTTATACGTCGGTTTTTAGATTTTGTTCACGTTTGTTTAATTTTTTATTTTTCTTGTGTATTTTAAGAAAGGGCGGAATTTGCCAACATGAATGATATAGAAAAGGGTGCCAACAAGAATGCTTGGATGACGACCATAATTTTTACTAGATGACTGGAAAAACTAGACAATGTTATGAAGAGGCAAAAACGAAAAGTTTTGCTATTCATCGACCAATGTCCAGCGCACCCATCGATACTAATTATTTTGGAAAATGTATAAGCTCTCTTTTTTCCTGCAAATTGCACAAGTGCGCTTCAGCCATTAGATTTGGCTGTGATTAGAAATCTAAAATTGCATCATAGAAAAGAAAGCAGTAAGTTCAACTTGCTATTCAAAGCTTAGTTGAGACTAATAGCTGTTGAAGCCGGTATGAATGTAATAATAGTAGCGCCACCTACATTAATTAGAAAAAAGTTACTTCCTCGTTGGCTTCTTGGCGTCATTGTTCTCAGCCAAGAGTCAGTTAATGTAAAACAACCAAAGAGCATACACGCTCGGTTTTTGCATCCCCGCAGCGCTACCAGCGCACCCGCAAAATAAATAATTTACAGTCCACGTTGTCCAAGTATGATTTTATACACCCCGCAAGCTATCGCACAACAT